CAATTTCTCCACATCCTCGACAACACTTGTTATTTTCCGTTTTGTTTTTTTCTTTATTACAGCCGTCCTAGTGGCTGTGAAGTGGTATCTCATTGTGGTTTTGATTTGCATTTCCCTGATGACTAATAAAATTGAGCATTTTTTCATGTGCTTTTTGGCCATTTGTATATCTTCTTTGGAGAAATGTCTATCTAGTCTTCTGCCCACTTTTAAATTGGGCCTTTTTTCTTTTGTTATTTCTGTCTACTTTCGTACATGTTTAAAATTCTCCATGGTAAAAAAAGATACCAAAAAATTAGTTATCTTATTAAAAGCTTTAAGAAACACATGTCTTACTATTTTTTTTTTTTTCCTGGGGAGGGACTATTTCTCCCTCCTCCCCTCAGCCCCACTAGAATTCCCCAGAGATTGCATAATCCCTAGTTCCATATACCGCCTATAATGTAGTTTCCAAAGATACACACTTCTTCTTCAAATAAATAAGAACAAGTTTCTTTCACCTTTTCAAAGGTGGGTGGGTGAATGCGGGGAGAGCACAGCAAGGATTTAGGAGTAGCAGAGGCTGGCTGTCCCCATCTTTTTGGCCATAGCCTGAGGCTCATCCCACCACCTAGCAGCCTGGTGATTCATTCATTTCCTGGTGTCCCACCTCAGTGTCTTTGCTAAGATTCCTCTGGGAAGGGAGGGCCCCATCTATATTGGAAGAAACCTTCTGGACCCAAATCCAGCCACATCACAAGACTGGATGGCCCAGGCGCGAGACAAGCATGTCAGTGGCCTCCACAGCCAGTGGGAGAGGCTTCGCCCGTCTCATGTTATTCTGTGGTAATCGGGCCAAACAGATGGCTTGGGCTAAACAGGGGGGTGGTGCTGGGTGAGGGATGGTTTTGAGTGGCCTTAGCCTCACCCTGAATCCTAGAGAAAGAGGCGGGAGAGGTGAAGGCCGTGCCTGAGGAAGGGGATGTTGTTTGGTACCTTCCTAACCTGTTTGTGGATTTTTTAGCAATGGAACTCTTGTTCAAACTAGCCATTGCAAAATCTATGACAGAGGAAAAAGGAAGCTTCTGCAGTTGAAGAGGGGGTGAGAAGGCCAGAGCCTTCCCTCCCTCTGTGCCCTGTGTCACCTCAGTGTTTCAGGAGAACACACCGATCCTGTTAACATGTAGTCTTTATATGAAACCGCTTGGTAACTCAATACATTCTCCCTGAGCCTCGAAGTGGACTCCCGAGGTGTGCAGAAGAGCTTGGCAGCATGCCAGCCTGAGACACTGGCCCACAGAGCGAGGTGGCCTCTCTTGCTTGCCCCTCACCAGCCATGTTTCAGGGAGATGGCCACAGGCTGAAGAGAGGGTCAGCCTGCGGGTGGGCTGAAGGAACCTGAGAGGGGCAGAAGGTGCAGTGGCCTGGTCTCCAAGCCCACCCAGGGTCCCTTCCAGCAAGAGAGCTTGGAACCCAGTCTTGGCCTCCTGCCTTCCTTGCAGCAGAAGTCCCTTACCCCAGGTGGTCCATAGGAGCCACTCTCCCAGGACCCACTACCTGCACCTCCCTTAACTTAAGGGACATGTGAGAACAGGAACGCCTTCTACTACCACCCCAGAAGATCTGACATAGAATTTCCTCAAACCTGGATTCTGCTTCTCAGCAGAGTCCATAGCTACCCTCCCCCACCTGCCTTTAACCCAGATAGCCCTACAGGGTAAGTTCATTAACTAGAGGGGCTCGCTTTTGGCTACAGGATGGTGTGTGGGAGTATTTGTAAGGAAGCAAATGAAGACCTGGGCAGGTAATTTTACTCTGGGCATCAGTTCTCTCATGCACACCCTGGGGATCCGAGTACCTACTCCGCAGGGCTCTTCTGAGGATAAAAGAGGTAACGCAGGTCCAAGCCCAACAGTACAGCAATTGCATACCAGAGAAAGGGCATGGCTCTGTCCTGTACATGATGCGTCACCCCAGAGGAGGCCTGTTTCTAATCTGAGCTCTGGTTTTCTCATCTGTAAAATGGTCATATTAATATCTACCCTTCACAGTTACTACAGAGATAATTCACATAAAGTGCTTTATATAGGGCCTGGCACAGATAGAATGCTCAAAACATGGTAGTAACAGTTGCAATTATTACTCCTTTTACTATTATTATTAATATCACTATTACTATTATTTAGCAAGAAGGGCCGTGTGGTTTTGTAGTTAAGCACATAGACACTGGATGTAAGTTGCCTAGGTTTAAATTCCAGTTCACCCCTGGAGCTGTGTGATCCTATACAAGTTACTTAACCTCTCTGGGCCCACATTTTGTTAACCATATAAGGGACATAATAATTATACCAAGTCATGGAGTTGCTATGAAAATTAAGTTACTGTATGTGGAGGGCTTTGAAGAGCACCTGACAAATAGAAACTGCTACTGATGTGTTTGCTGTTAATAGTAGTATAGTATTTGTATTATTACATTAACAAGAAGAACCTGAAAGCCTTCACCTTGGATCTAGTTAAGGAGAGACACTTATTTACCATCCCACTAATGGTTTAACAACTTGGAAGCTGTGTGACCTTGGGCAAGTTACCTCCCCTCTCTAAGCCTACTTTTATTTATCTACTAAATGTGAATTCTAATAGTACTCATAATGGTACTGCTAGGTTGTTAGGCTTCATTAATGAGCGATGACCCGTGGGAAGCTTCTAGCTTCTAGTTAATTAGGCCCTGGTCCCAACGCCCTGCCTAAATCCAGCTCCCTACCCCACCCCTCTGGGAGAGGGCTTGGATTCCCTCTTGCTGGGCGCCAGCGGGGGAGCTGCCGGGCACCCGCTGCCAGGCCCTATTCTGGGGGCCCAGCGATCCCGTGGCCGTGCCAAGCTTCCCCGGGGATCAGGTTTCTGCTGACGCGGTGCCAGGCACGTCTGCTTCCAGGAACCAGCAGCCGCATTTAGCCGCGGGCCGCACATGAAAGGGCTGCAGTCGGAAACGTGACGTTGTGTCAACAGGCGAGGCAGGTCAGCGCTGGGTGAGACCATCCCGGCAGGCCCGGAGGATCACGCCCTGTCTGTAGGCGGCCAGATCCCAAGCCTCCGCTCCCGGCCTCCTGCCACCTCTCCTCGGCCCCAAAGCCAGTGCTTCACCCCCTCACGCTCGCGCACACCCCTTCTAAACAGAGATCCTCTTTGTCCCAAATGGGCAAAAGGCTGGGGTGCAGGCCCCTCCTCTGCCTCCACAGAGCTGCTTGGAACGTGCTGCAACTGGGCGAGAAGGAAGGTCAAGGGCAAACTAGAAGCAGAAAAGGAGGCCCAGGGACAGTTGCCTCTTTTTGGGGTGTTTAATAGGAGCAAACTCCAGCAGGGGGATTCTGGGTTGACTATGTGTTGAACCCTCAAACCTTTTTTTAGTTCAGGTTGCTCCAACCACTTCCTTCTGTCCCCACAGCTACTCCCTGAGTCACGGCCCAGGAAGGAAAGAGGGGTGTACAAAAAAGGAGTGTGGCCTTGATTTTAACCCCGGGGCTCCATCCGTAGGGTAAACCTGAAAAACCCTTTAGGTTTTTACTAAAAAAGTCTGGCCAGAAAAACCTAGTAATTCATGGAGCAACCCAGGGGGCATAGTAGGTGGGAGACGTGGAGGTGCAGGCCCTAAAAAGCTGGGAGAAAGTGGCCCTTATAGTTGCCGTCTGCCTGATGTAGGACATGTGAGAAGAAGGGCTTAGGATCCTTATTTACCTAGTCCACAGGCGTAGAAGGGGAAATTAGATGGACCACCAGTTCAGTGATCAGCCCACCAGTTCATCTCCTGACTCCTGTTCCACAGCTTCTCCATGACACTCTGCTGCCTAGGGGCAACTATGCCTTTTTGACACTCTGCTGCCTAGGGGCAACTGTGCCTTTTAGACTACGAATTCTGCAGCTCACACAAGCCAGGCCGGCAATGCTCACTCTTGCCTGCTGGCTCATCAGGAAACAGGGAAGGTGACATTTGAAGCAAACAGTCATGACAGGCAGGTGGAGCCTCTGCCTGGCTGAGAACTCCCTGGGGGCAAGTTCCCTGCCTGGGCTGCCGACAACCAGAGGGTTCTGGAAGACTTGGATACTTGGTGATCTGGAGCATGGCGAGCCGAGCCAGGCACTGGCTGTCAGGAAACATCAGGGCACCTCTGATGCAGAGAAGGGGAGAGGCAAAAATACTCAATCGGGCCATTTCCCACGGAATTTTTTTCTTCCTATGAGCTCTTGAGTAAGGAACACCAATACCCATTCACGCATAAACACACCCAATGAGAGGAAATCCAGGAAGGATGTAGAAAATAATTATGGAATGTTGCCTTCTGCAGCAATAAGACAGGATATGGCATATCCATTCGACCTTGCTAAACTCAAAAAAGTTAGACTGCCTTGGCAAAGAGGTGCTATCCCCAGCATCCATTATTACTGCATAGTAATCCATTAAACCTTTTCTCAATGTGCCCACCTGTCCAGGGAGCTCCCCAGACACTCAGGCCCACGATTGCAGACTTTGATTTTCTGTCAAGTTCTCAGGACCATGACAAAAGCAGACTTGGGTGAGAGGAAATGCACTTTTTTTCTTAATTCTGGAAAGAGGCATAGGGTGATTGTGAGCCTCTGGTATGGGTTAGTTAAAAAAATTTCAAACAGATACTAACCTTATAAATTGACTAAGCTGATTCTGTCTGACTGAATACAAGGCACATGAGAAGCTGATGAATTGACACCAAGATTAACTAGTTATTGCCTTTAGCCAAGGGGGAGGGCAAGAGCCGCATCACACAATCAAGTTATTTTTAAAAATGCAGGAGACCATCTTTCTCTTCCACAGGAAAAGGATTATTTTATTAATTATTTTAAAACATCTACTTAACATTGACTCATCGATAAAAATATTTACAATTTCACACCTTCAGGAAGGCTCCAAAATATAAACACTGTACCTCTCCCTAGAGAAAAAAATTTTTCTTCTCTTCAAAAGCAGGAATACATTCATTTTTCTCACTTTGTTGATCAAGTAATTATACAAATAAACATCTGAAACATTTTCCTTTTCAATATATTTATATAATATATATTTAGAATAGTTTTACAAATAAAGGCAACAACTTTATACCAAAATAAAAACGGGAAAGGAAAGTTAAAACACGATCGGCATCAAGCATAGTGAATTTTGAAAAGCTGGTGCAGGGCTAGCTGGACAAGTCAGGAAACAAGTACTCTGGGCCAAAAATACAACTTCTTTGAAGGAGACAGAATCCTTTTTTAGCAATAAGGACACTCCATATGCCGTCGCTTGAGGGGAATTAGCCTGCGAAAGGATCTTGCAGTGCCAAGGGTTGGTTAGGCCCTGAAGAAGCTAAGCTTGGTTAAAAGGAGTTTTAGACTACAACCAAAACCCGAGCCTACCTCTGCTTGTTAAAGGTGTTACCCAGCTTTTGCACTTTGGGGTGCTTGGACTTAGGCACCTGCATCTCTCAAGACCTTGGTTTGGTTCCCTGGATGGCAAGACTTTCTAGGTGAGACCTAGAAACAGGTGCCAGAGGCCCCAGGGGCTCCTCCCTCATTCCCTGGCAGCTCAGCTTGTACCAGGGGGCCCTTTCAGGTCCTCAGTAAGCTAGTCACTACAAAAGCCTGAGTAGGGAACTACATTCTCTTTATTCATCTGAGGCAGGGACCGGGTACAGGCCTGCGGAAATCTCCCCAAACCACCACCCTGCTATGCCTGTGTCTGCTACCTCACTACTTTGCAGAAAGCTGGGTCTGGCTGCCCTCTCTCTGTACGGTGAGTCACAGCGACAATAAAAGGGAGAAGGGTGGGGTCATCGGAGCTGGCTGGGAACTGCACTCTGGAAAGCCCTCTTTTGAAAGTACCTTTTTCTCAAAGCCACAGCCCCAGCTCCCAAAGGGAAGACTGACTCACAGACCAAGACTTTGAAGCTTTTGAAAATCCAGCTGATTTGTATCAGAGGGGGCTATTTTCTGGGTGGGGAAAAGCCCAGAGGTCTGCTACAATCCCCCCTATATCTCCTGATGTCAGGTAATCCTTCATGTCTTCCCTACACCAAAAGGAGCTGTAATGTCCTATTACCAACACATGATGCACACACACACACACACACACACACACACACACACACCCCAAATCTTCTCTCCATGCTTCAGATTATCTCAGCATACACACTGGAACAATCTTGCTGCACTCACACTTTTTCTTTTTCTTTTTGGAAGTAGGGAGGAAGGAAAGCAGAGAAGCAGGACCCCCTAGGAGTTTAGTCTTTGGTTTCTAAGTTTAAAGGGGGGATCTGCTTCAGAGCTTGGAGTAGGGCAGAAGAGTCGATGGCCGGATGGGCTGGCAAGGGAGAAGGGAGTCTCTGGGGCATGAGCAAGGGGGCTGGGAGCTTGTCTGGGTTCATGAAGCTGGTGAGGGCTGCCGCAGAAGTGTTGAGGCCCGGGTATAACACTGGCACAGAGGTGGGATACCAGCACTTCTCCAGCATGGGCAAGTAGGCTGTTGCTGATGGTGGGATCAGGTAGAAGGGCAGGCAAAAGGGAGGCTGGTGCGGGTGTGGGCCCAGGAACGGGGAGCTGATCAGGTCGCTGCTCGAGTAGTGGCTTTCATCATCTGAGAGCTGCATTCTGCTCTTTTTAGTGGGGGGTTCTTCAGATTCTTGCTTAATAGCACCGATCCTTTCTCCCACGGTGAACCTGCGTCCACGATCACTTTTGAAGTACAGCTGCTCACCACGCAATTCGCCCTTCTCTGACTCTCCTCCATAGCCGCTGTCTGTGTCTGTGTCACTGCCACTCTGTTCCCCACTGGAATGAGCAAAAGTCCGCTGGATGACAGGCACACAGTTTTTCCCAGGGCCTTCAGAACCCTTGGCCATGGAGCTGGGTTTCTCCTTAAAGTCCATTGCTTTGGGAGCTGGGTCTGAGGGCTTCCTGGGGGTACCACCCTGCAGCAGCTCCGAGACCACACGGTGGAGGTGGGTGACAAGCTGTGAAGACCTCAGATCCCGAGTATTCTCATGCTTGGCCAGGTACTGAAGCACCTCCCGGGCACACGTCTGGAAACCTGAGCAGAACATCTCTTGACCTGCTTCAACATTTCTCCCTGACAGCTCACCTGGACCAACAAAGATCCAAAGGAAGACATTTCAGAAAGCCCTGTGGTTCATCTGGACACCTATACTCCAAAGACCAGGAACTTTCCTCTTTGTTAACATAATAGCATTTGCCAGTATGTGTTCTTAACTCCAGAAGTAATATGGTCAGAGAAAATTTGGATTACACTGAGAAGTATAAATAGAATAAAAATAATCTATGATTCTACAACCCAGAGATAAAATATGATTTGTAATGACTGCATTAATATACAGTCATTGAAAAAGACCACAATTAATAGAGATGGACTATTTCCCCTCTTGTTCAATTTATAGGTTGTTCCTGAATTTTTATTATAAGTGACACAGCAATGAGCATCCTATTTACAGAGTCAGTTTACAGAATATCAATGTTACTGTAGCAAGATTGGACAGAGACCAGATGGTCATAAAATGAGATAAAGAATGAAGGAACGTCACTGGAACTAAACTTATGTTCAAAGACTTAAAAAAGACGCAATCATGCTGTAATTTTTAAATGTAAAGGCTTCTTCTAAGCCTTTTTCTTGCATTCTATGCATGACTCCCCCAGGAATTAGGTAGGACAATTTTCCTATTTTCAATGAGGACACTTGCTAGGTTTTTGTGATCCTCATTTTACTAGCCGTAGAATGGAGGGTAGAGAAAAATGGAATTAGTGGGTGGGTAGAAGATTTCCTCCCCCATCTGTACAGGATCATTTGGAAGGGGTGAAACTAGGAGGTTAGAAGGTGATTATGATTCTTTGGAAGTCAGTAAATGAATGATGAAACTTCACTGGTTTCATTAGATTGTGCAATTTACCAAGATACCTAGTGGCTATTCAGAGAACCACATGAAATGCAGGAAAAACTCCTGCTGTCAGCCTGCCAGGATCATACCACACACCCAGCGATAAGGAAGTAGAGAAACAGGAGAACACTGGGGCATACCAGTGATTGAGTCTCCAGTGAAAGAGGGCTAAAGAAGAACTACTGTAAAACACCCATGATGCAAATTATAGGTGTGCTGGCATTTTAAATGGGAGGGGGGGAATCTCCCAGAGCCCAGAAACCCTTCAACAAAAATGCCACAGAAATATTTTTTTGACAAATATGTATTCATGCCAGGTGGCACACAGTAGCATTCCTAGTGAAAAGTCTGACCTTTCAGGAAAGATAAAACAGCATTTCCCCCAACGACTGTGCATAAGCAATTTGTTGCAGTAATGTTTCCTACGCCAGATGTTGAGCACACTGGCTCTCTGTTTGTGCTAGAACTCTTTAGAGATGATAGCCAGACTAGGGCACTCACCAGCTTGTAAACCGCTCTGCAGGGCAATGATTTTCTGCTGCTGCTGATCAATTAGGTTTGTTAGTGCTTTCACATGCTTCAAGGTAAGCTCAAGAACCACAGCTTTTTCCAAGTGACCCAAAGTCTGGAATAAAAAAAGCCTTAGTCAGCAGTGAGTTCTGAGAATTCTGAGAACTCCTACCCCGGAACACTTATTAGCAAAGAGAAATGTCCCTAAAGAAAAATAAAAATGAAATAACCTTTCCTGGTTGGCTAAATATAGTTTTAAGTTTGTAGATCATGTTTAAATATATATATATATACATACATGTGTTATGTATATATATATGCGTGATTAAAAATTTTTAAATGGGTATCATCTGTCTTTGAGGGCATTTTGGAAGTGGCAGCTATCTCAGGGAAAAGGTCTGACAGATACATTTCTCTAGCAGCGGCTGCTGACCTTAACTCAGGGGAATCCAGAGATAACATTTCTCTGCAGTGGTATCAACCTGACAGGGACTTCTACTGTGTCTGGCAGCCAAGAGGCTTCCCCTAGCTTCTTTTTTGGACACTCTTTCCTAACTTCCAGCTCACCCAAGCCTTCTTCTTCCTCCTCAAATAAATTTTTTTCCTCTCTCCCCAACTAAAGGCTGCAAAGCTAGTACTAGCTGTTGGCTACTGCCCAGAAAGGACAGGACATAAAAAAAAGGAAAGAAAAGAAAAGAAAATCACACACCAAAACAAGTCGCCTTATTTACAGGGTGGGGGGGTCAGGGGGAGCGTTAAATAAAATCTGCGTGTTTCTTGGTTTCCTCAAGTCAGGAAAACTAGAGAACTCTGAAAATCACCAGAAAGGAAAGTCTTAAACTCTTGAAAAGGAATTTCAGTTGGTGTTGGAGCCAAACTGGAGAAGTCCAGCTGCCTCTCCCTTCATTTGCATGAGGTTGTCAGAAAATCCCAGGATTGGGGAAGGGTACCCCAAAACAGAACCACCCGCCAACTCCCATCCGGCCATCTGGTCTGCAGTTTTCAGCGGGGCCTGTAGGTGGCGAGTGACCCCCGGCCGCCCTCTGGACAAGGAGCTGTTTTGGAGAAGGGCCAGCTTCTCACTTACTGTAAGTTTGAGATGTTCTGGTAGGAGATCCTTCAGCTGGGCGATGCACTCGTTAATCCGGTCACGTCGCTTTTTCTCGATGAGCCGGTGCGGCAGTTTGTAGGTCTCCTGCAAAAAGCACGGCGAGGCGGTGGGCGCCTGCAGAAGGGGAGTGAGAAGCCCTTCTCTTCCCCACCCCGCAGTGCGATAGGAGACGGGGCAACGGAGCAGAGTCACACCCAGGATCACCTTCTGGCCTTCTGCAAGTCACTCAGTATAGGCACGGAGCCCACACCTCGCATACCCCCCCCAACCTCAAAGTGAGAAAACTTTTCTTACAAACTCTGCGCGTTCGAGGGACTAGGGTCCCCTGGGGCACCATGCTCCTTCTTACCTTGCTGTCCTCGCTCCGCTTCATTCCCCGCTTCGACTTGTACACTTGGTACATGTGGGCGAAATCCATCCTGCAGGGAGAAGGGCCGGGAAGGGTAGTGAATTAAGAGAGCTTGCTGGCCACGGGAGCCCGGCGGGCAAGAATCCCCGGATGCGCCTCGAGCTGCTCGGAGTTGACAGACAACAGCGCAGAACGCAGGGCTGGAGCTCAGGCTTTAAGGGGCCGAAGGATGGCAACTTACCCTGGTAGGTCTCCGGGCTCCAGTCCTGGCGCTTTGGGCAGGCAGGCGGGGGGCGGTTGCGCGCTGGGGATCCGCTCCATGGCGCGGCGAGTCGGGGCCACTGTGCGCTCTTGTCTGCAGCAGCGGAACGTCGGTGTGAGGACTGTCCTGCAAGTGGCTTCGAAGAGTCTGTCAGCAGGGGTTCCTCAGAGTCTGAGGTCTCTGAAATCCGCTGGGCTGCCGGGAGCGGCGGCTTTGAGGTGCGGCTTCAGTTGGGGGTGTGCATGGTGTCCCCGCGGCCTCTGGCTCCGCTCTGCGCACAGACTGCCGGTGAGTGCTCCCTGCGCTGTCTGCGCCGTGAGAGCCAAGTGAATGAGAAGTGGGGCGGGCGGGGAGGCTGGAGGGGTAGGGCGGAGGGGGGTTGGGGGAAGACGGAGAGTAATGGAGAGGCTGCGGGCTGGGTTAAATGGGAGCGAGTGGGTGGGTTAGAGCTACGTGTTCTACCCTGTGACTCCAGGCACGTCTGGCCGCTGCCAGGGAGGGAAGGAGCGACCTGCCCGCCCTCCCCCGGCTTCATCACATGAGCCTCACGTGTTGGACAACGCTCCCGCGGCCGCGAGGGAGCCCCCACCCCCAGCCCCGGCCCCCAGGTGTCTGCGGCTGCGGCTGCCTTTCCCCGAAAAGGGGGTGGCAGCGCCTGGGTCCGACCCAGCCGGGTGGGGGACGCGGAAGCTGGAAGGGGCCGGAGAGCCGGAGGGGGGTGGGGGGAATTGGTAACGTGGGCGAACCTGCCCCAGGGAAATGAAGTAAGTTCCCGTCTCCTGGGAGGGAACGGGGGAGGACGGATCCGCCCGCGTCTGACTCAAGCCGGGAGAGGAATATCCCCTCGCTCGCTCCAGCCCAGCCCTCTTCCTCCTCCCCCGCCCGGCCCGCTCCGAGGAACCGGCGCGCAGCGGAGGGAGTCGCCGGCCCCCCTTCCTTCCCCAGGGGCTGCTGTTTCGTTCCGTCCCGGCTTCCCTGCCCCCAACCCGCAGCCCCGCATCCAGGAATTGCCCGCCGTGGGGAGGGGCCGAGAGGCGGGGCGGATGTCACCCCATGGGAAGCGGGCTGGCAGCCAAGCGTAGGGGCAGCCGAGGCCGCCGCCGAGCACGCTGCGCGCACCTGACCGCCGAGGGTGTGCGCTGCTGGCCCTTTGCTCCCCGGGAGCTCCGCTTCTGGGCACAGCCTGCAGCCGACGGGCACCCACTTGCTCACCCCACTGGATGCCCCAGTGCCCCCGCCCTCTCGACTAGTCAAGCTCAGAAAGATACCGGGCGCGGTGCCCTGCGTTCCCTCCCTCCTTTGCCCGCTCCGGAGCAGAGGCTCCCGGGTCGCCTCCCCTCCGGCTGCAACGTTACACAACCGCGGCGGCGGCGCCTGCCCTGCAGCAGCTCGGGGCGTGACGCTTCACGTGGCCGGGCTCGGGCCGCAGCGCCGCCGACTGCGGTCTCTTCTGCACTGGCCTGGGGACCGAGACCCGGGCGACGCGGTGTGTCCAGCGGGGTCGGCCGTCTCCCGACCTGCCAGACTTATGCGGCGCTGTTTGTGGTCTGCACCAAAGAGGAGGCAAGGGAGAGACTAGAAAAAACTATCCGCCCACCACAGTGAAATATTAACATTCAGTCCACGCACATTTGTTGAACCCCCTGCTCTGTGCCAGGCTTTGTGCCCTGTTGCTACAGTCACTGTGGGGAGTCAAGCGCAGATCCTGCCCTATAATTTACAGGGACCCTTGGGAAAAGGATAAATTGGGCTATGGGGGGAAGGCAGCCCTGGGAAATTATATCGGTGCCACTGGCTAACAGGAAAAAAAAAAGATATGGTTTTTTTTGTTTGTTTGTTTTTTTGTTTTTTTAATACCTGGGTAGAGGAGGAAGGAGAGAAGCTAACCCACTGCACCCAGCCTGGGGTCGAAATGCCTCTTCGAGCTACCCCAGATCTCCTCAATCTTCCTTAGGCCGCCGGAGGCCCCCGCCGACCTCCCCCGGAAAACTCCGGACTCTGTGACCTTCTAACTCAGCCTGGAGCAGGGAAAACAGCTGAAACTCCAAACCCGCGGTGTGAGCAGCGCTGATGCAGTCAGAGGAGGGAGCCAGTGGAAATTCATGACTAAAATAAGGCCTGGCTGGGGATTTCACTGACCTCTGCGCTGCCCTGCCCTGCAAGTTCGGGGAGTTGAGAAATGACTGTGAGCCTTTCCCACCGCGCCTCGGGTCAGTCACCCCGCTGCTGAGTGACCTGGCTGTGGGAAGGATTGAATAAATGGGGTCACTGCCGGCACTGGGTGAAGGCTAGCCTCCGGAGCGGTTTGGGGAGGTCAGCCTTAAAGGGCAGTGTCCTTGACAACCGAGGAGCTGGGATTCACACGTTGACCAGCTTGAGAGTGGGTTTCCTTCAAGTCGCTTTGGAGATCTCTCACTTCCTGTTTATGTTTCTAAAGCGTCAAACTCATTAGCAAGTGTGAGAAATGCCTCCTTTTCTGTTAACTGGCTGACCTCACTTGGGGGCTCAGCGATCCCTCCCTCCCGGATTGTATTTATGGCTTTTGTGGGATGACACTTCTCTGGAGGGGGACTGGAGCCTGTCCTGGCTTTGTGCTTTCGATCGAGGGTGACCTGCTCCATTGTGCGACATTAACAAGGGTGAGGGGTTGTCATGACTGCGGCAAAACCACTGTTCCACCAGGAAATAAGCACTGGGGGAGGAAGGAACCCATGCGCTCAGCTGTCGCGAGTGCAGCCAGGAGTGAACCCAAACATTGCAGATTCCATGGCTCCCGACTACATTTGATTTTTAGAGTGCCTTGAAGTTATCAATACTTTTTGCTCCTTACCTGACGTACAACCGGAAATAATGAAATGGATGCATTTCCTACTTTTGATTTCCAAATGTACTTCCAAGCTTCACGAGTTACCCCCACCCTGTCAAAGTTACACCATAATCACAATTTATGTGGTTTTTAATCTGTTTTATTTTCTTCTCTCAATAGTTTTGGATTACTTTTTATTAATTTAAACCAAATAAATCCTTCCCAGTCTGCATCTATCCTGGAGACTCTTAATATTTGTCTGTTATCTTTTGTCCATACCTGTTTAATGCTTACTGTGTGTATGCTAATCTTTAGACTATGTAAAAACTTGTAAATATTAATTTTCTCCTCCCCACCACCTGTGATGCCACATATATTAGCTCATTTTTACATTCCTTTAACACTTATTTATTGAGAATCACTATGTGCCAGGCTCTGAACTAGGTCCTAGAGATTTATAATGTGTCCTCTTGAGGAAATTGAGACTCAGGGAGGTTAAATAACCTGCCCCAGGTTATAGAACCTCAGATCAGATCTGGAACTAGACTCCAAATTTGTTGGGCTCCGAAGTTTGTGCTCTTGATCACTATACTTTTGGCCATCTTGTAGCGTTGTATGGGCTGTGCACCGTTCCACTCTAGGGGGAGCCATTCACATTTCAGTCGGTGTGAGAGTGCCCTCTAGAGTTGTGCAATGTAGCACGGAGCAGCTGCACTGCGTAATCCTGACATTTTTTAGCCCTCTTCTCTGTTTTGTCTCTTCTAAGTCTACTGAGACCCTACTTTTGTACAAGGAAGTACAAGAGATAGGGTTTTTCTTTCCTTTCCCAGTGGGGCTCAGCATTTTGGTGGTCTGATGCTGTGCATTGGACGGATTCTCTTCTGTTCCCCAGGCCCTTCTTGTGCAGGAAGTTAGAGTCCACAGCCCTCTGCAAGGACTCACACCTTTCTTGCTCAGGTATCACCACTTTTTGTATGTTTATGGCGGCTCAACATATTTTATCACAGCTCACAGTAAAAAACATATTTTACATTATGACTCAACACACACACACACACACACACACACACACACACACACACACGCACCTTAACTATGTTTAAATATAGTTAAGCCAAGGCTCCGTTGGGCTATAGCGATAAACCACTGCTGCTACCTCTCTCTTGTACTCCTGAATAACCATTGCTCACTTAAAGGAAAACCTAAACCATTTGGGAAGAAGCTAGCCTAATGTATTTCAGACAAAATTTTACAAAACAATCTTCCTTGATGTAAGCATTCTGATATTTTCTAGTCTAATTTAGTCAATTCCATTTTTAAAAATACTGTAGTCTCTACTTGCTAAATTGATTTTACAACCTACCAACAAATCCTGACCTACAATTTGAAAAAGGCTCTACACTAGAGATAGTGTAATTTTGGCTTGTCCCCACCAGAAAGAAATCAATAGCATCTGCACACTTGAAGATCTTCCAAATCACTTATAAAAATGTTAAATAAGGCAGCTGGTCCTGGTTGAATTCAACAGTATAGATATCTTCATTCAAGATATCCTTACCTTATGCTCAATGGTAGGAGTAAAATAATTCAGTTTCATCAATACATGTAACATTATTTGCTGGTGATGAGACATAGTTTCTTCAATCAATGCTGAGAAAGTTTAGGATGAGAGGACACTGAATTTGTCAAATGCTTTTTCTGCATCCACTGAGACAATCATACGGTTTTCTTTTTTATTCTGTCAATATAATAGATAATAATTTTTTCCCTGGGTTAAACCAGCCTTGAATTCTTGAGATAAGTCTATCTTGATCAATATATTATTCTTATTTTTATTACTAGATTTCATTTGCTAATATTTGTTAAGGATTTTTGTGTCTATGATTGTGAAGGGTATATATTTGTAGTTTTTATTTTCTTGTAATCTTTGGCAGGTTTTAGTGTAAGATTAATGCTGGCCTCATGAAACAACTTGGAAAATATTTCTTTTCTTTTCTAAAAGAACTTGTGCAGGATTGGTACTATTTCTTTCTTAAATAGTAAGAGAATATACCTGGTCCTGAAGTTTTCTTTGAGGGAAGGTTTTTTAGTATGAATACATTTTCTTTAATAGATATCAGACTATTGAAATTTTTTATTTGTTCTATCAGTTTTTGTAATTTCTGTTATTCAGGGAAGTTGTCTATTTTATTCAGATTTATCAATTTATTGGTATAAGGTCTTATCCTCTTAATGTCTGTATAATCTCTAGTGATAAACCCTTTTTACTCCTTTTTAAATTTTTTGTTAATTTGTGTTTTCTTTCTTTCTTGCTAAGAGACTTGTCATCTTGCTAAGAGACTTGTCAGTTATCAATCTTTACAAATATCCAAGTTTTGATTTTGTTGATTTTCTCTATTTGTTCATCTTATAATTTCATCAGTTTTCTCTCTTAATTTTTCTTATTCCCTTCTTCTAGTTATTGTGGATTTAACTTGCTCTGCTTTTTCTAGTTGCTTGTGATACAAGGTAATATAATTAATTTTAAACCTTTCTTCTTATTAGTATTTAAAGTTAAACATTTTCTTCTAAGCACTGCTTGCACAGCATCCCACGATATTTAGTACTTGTATTTTTCATATCATGCAGATGAAGATGTTCTAACTACTTTTTGTGATTTTTCTTTGATTCATGTATTATTTAGAAGGTTATTGTTTAATTTCCAAATATTTGTGAATTTTCCAAATAACCCTTTTCTTCTTCTTTTGAAATAACTAGAATCACAGGAAGTTACAAAAATAACACCAAGAAGTTCTATGTATCCTTCATTCAGTTTTCCCCAATGGCAACATCTTACAGGATTGTAAAACAGTATTAAAACAAGGAAATTAACATGGGTACAATCCACAGGCGACTTTCTGATTTCACCAGTTTTACAGACACTCACTTGCAGTTATAGTTCTGTGCAATTTTATCACATATGTAGATAAGTGTAACTACCACCACAATCAAGGTGCAAAACTCCTGTCACTCCAAAGTCCCCTCGCCCCTTGTGCTACCCCTTTACAGTCATACTCATTCTCATCCCTTCTCAGTCCCTACTGTCTGGTAATCACTGATAGGGTCTCCATCACTATAACATTATCATTTCAAGGATGTTATATAAATGGAATCATATAGTATACAACTTTATGAGATTAAGTTTTTTTCCACTCAGTGTATTTCTCTTGACATCCATTCAAGTGGTTGTGTGCATCGATAGTAAGTTTCTTTGTTATTGATGAGTGGTAGTCCATGATGTAGATGGGCCACAATTTGATTACCATTCACTCACTGAAGGACATTTTAGTGCCAATTTTTTGCTATAAGAGATAAACCTACTATGAACATTTTTCTACACATTTTTGTGTGGACGTAAGTTTTCTTCTCTGGGATACATGCCCAGGACTTTAATTCCTGGGTCATATAATAATGTATGTTTAGTTTTGTAAGAAACTGATAATTTGTCAGAGTAGTTGTACCATTCTATGTTCACAGTTGCAATGTATGAGAGAGATCATTTCTCCATATCTCTGACAGCATTTGGTATTGTCAATGTTTTTTATTTTTGCTTGTCCAAATAGGTGTGTAATGCCACGTATCTTTATGTTGGTTTCTAATTTATTACAATTGGGTCTGAAGATACAATCTATTAGACTTTAATTCTCTGACATTTCTTATGACATCTTTCATTGTGCGGCATGTAGCCTATCTTGATGAATGTTCCCTGTGGGTTTGAGAAGAATGTGTATACTGTAGTTATCAGGAGTAATATTTTACCAAGTCAACTGGACAAAGCTCGTTGACAATGCTGTTCAAATATATCACTCCACTGATTCTCATCTATATTCCTATAATTTCTGAGATAGGAATGTTAAAATCTCTGCAGCTATGATTGTAGATTTGTCCATTTTATGTGAATTTTTGCTTTATGCATTTGGAACTCTATTCTTAGTTACATGCACATTTAGTATTGATAGGTCTTCCTGATGATTTTATTCTTATCATTAAAAATGTTCCTTTTTTCCTCCAGTGGTATTCTTATTCTGAGTCTATTTTATTTGCTATTAATGTAATCACTCTTGCTTTTCTTTGCTTAGTGTTTGCATGATATATTTTCCTCTATCCTATGCTTTCAACCTGTATCTTTTAAAAAATTATTATTATTTTTTCATTAAGGTATCATTGATATACAATCTTATGAAGGTTTTACTTGAGCAACATTGTGGTTTCAACATTCACCCATATTATCAATTCCTCCCTCCATTGCAATCACTGTCCATCAGCGTCGTAAGATGCTATGAAGTCATTACTTGTCTTCTAGGTGCTATACTGCCTTCCCCTACCTATATGGTGAATGCTAATTATAATGCCCCTTAATCCCCTGCTCCTTCCCTCCCCACCCACCCTCCCCAATCCCTTCCCTTTGGTAACCACTAGTCCCTTCTTGGAGTCTGTGAGTTTGCTGCTGTTCTGTTCCTTCAGTTTTGCTTTGTTGTTATACTCCACAGATGACTGTAATCGTTTGGTACTTGTCTTTCTCCACCTGGCTTATTTCATTGAGCATAGTACCCTCTAGCTCTATCCATACTGTTGCAAATGGCAGGATTTATTTTTTTCTTATGGCTAAATAATGTTCCGTTGTGTATATGTACCATATCTTCTTTATCCATTCATCTACTGATGGACACTTAGGTTGCTTCTGTATCTTGGTTATTGTAAATAGTGCTGCGATAAACATAGGGGTGCATATGTCTTTTTGAAACTGGGATCCTGCATTCTTAGGGTAAATTCCTAAGAGTGGAATGACTGGGTCAAATGGTATTTCTATTTTTAGGTTTTTGAGGAAACTTCATATTGGTTTCCACAATGGTTGAACTAATTTACATTTCTACAGTGTAGGAGGGTTCCCCTTTCTCCAAATGTTCGCCAGCTTTTTTTGTTTCTTGTCTATCGGATATTGGCCTTCCTAACTGGTGTGAGGTGGTATCTCATTGTAGTTTTAATCTGCATTTCCCTGATGATTAGCGAGGTGGAGCATCTTTACATGTGCCTGTTGGCCATCTGAATTTCTTCTTTGGAGAGGTGTCTGTTCGGATCCTTCACCCATTTTTTAATCAGGTTATTTTTTTTTTGGGTGTTGAGGCACATGAACTCTTTATGTATTTTGGATGTTAACCCCTTATTGTTATGTTATTTATGAATATATTCTCCCATACTGTAGGATACCTTTTTGTTCTCTTGATGGTGTCCTTTGCTGTATAGAAGCTTTGTATAAAAAGAAGTCCCATTTTTAACCTGTATCTTTATAATTGATTTGCCTATTTATAAACAGCATATTGTTGGATTTTG